TATATATAGAAAATCAAATGGAAATTAAAGAAAAATTTACCTTGGGGCAGAATGCTCTTTTACGCAATTCCTTGAAATAATCGGTTGTTTTCTTCACTAAATCAATCTCCTTCATAGTTTCTTCAATTTGTAACTTCAATTTGTTTTGAATGGCAATGCTCCCGTACACAGGATTTTCAGATCTAATCTTAGCCTCTAAAATTAGGGTTTCAACCATTTTTTCCTTTTTCTCAGTGTCAGCAACAGAATTAAGCATCTCTATGATAGTGCTTACTTTGTAAAGTCGACTAACATTTTTGAAATCTTCAAATTTATTGGATGGAAAAAATGGAGCTAACGGACAATTCTCCTGACACCGTTTTCTTTGGTACTTACATGCTGCACATTTACCCCTTGCACCTGCGTCATTCATCTTTCTCACAATAGTTAAAAATTAGTCCTAAATAATTACTTAATAGAGAAGTCTATTCCTTATATTTGCCTCTTTTACCATGAAATTATAGAAGAATAGAGTGGCTAATCATATTATATAAAGATAAACTGTAATGACTTTTAATTCAAAAACTAAAAAGTAGGGGGAGACCTGCTTTTTGTTTTTGACTTATTTTAAGTCATCTTAAAATAATTTTAAGTTAGTTTGTATATTATCAAACATTTCCCAACTTATTTTAATTCAGTTTTGACTTATTTTATTTTATTTTTTTTAATTCTCAATCACTTTCAGAAGTAAAAAAATTACTTTAAAATAGGTTTGACCAACTTTTAAGTCAATCCAAAAACCCACTTAATTAGATATTTAATATATTTAAATTTTTTCCTTTAGAGGTTAGTGATATTTTTTACCTTTTTTTTTTGTGGGAAATCTTCTTGCTAGAAAATATGTTCACATTTGATTGACTAGTTTAGCGTATGTGTGTCGCGCATGAATTGTATGTCTACAAATAAAAAATATTAGGTATTACAACAATTGATTTTAATTATATATGAAATAATTATTGAAATAAAAAATATCATTAAGTTGATACAATAGTTGAATTTTAAGTAATTAAATATCTTTCAAAACAAATGTTGTAGCTAAGTTACTTATATAGTTTTTATAATTATAGATATTTTATTTTATAAGAAAAAAATTAATTATGTAGTATTTGAATCAAATATCTAGTTGAATTTTTAAAATGCATACATGCTTGAAAGCAATCTTGATACGTTTGTTAAACTTGTGCTCCAACCAATGAGTATAATTAAAAAATATATATTAAATGAAATATTTTTAAATAATATACGTTAGTTATAAAACAAAAAATATAATGAATATTTAATTTCCTGAAAATAATAAAAATTTATGATATTCAATGAGCTTTAAATAGAAAAACAAAATATATCACAAAAGTTTTCAATATTGGCATGTCAACGAAAAATAACGTACATTACAAAAGTATTCAATATTCAATATTATAAGAAGACTTACTGTACGTTTTGTAGCAAGATGGAAAATTCACTAAATACATAAAAATGATACGCACAAAAAATATTGATATTAATTTCTAAATACTATATGTTCCTCAGTAATTTAAACAGGGAACCAAAACTCCTATTAATATGTATAGGTTGGTTTTAAAGACTGAAATAGTAAAAACAATATTGAAATTAGTTTTATCTAATTTGAAATATATATGGTTTTAACTAGACAACATTTTATCCTAAATATTAAACTTCGTACCTAGTTTAAATAAAGAATACAAACAATAACAATATATCAGTTGTGATTTTATAAGTCAGATTAACGGAGGTTAGATTATGAAGACATTATTTCTATCTTTGTAGGGTAGAAAATTTGTTCTAGATAGGACATTAATGTAAAATAAATGTAATCAAAGCATCATAGAAAGAAAATAATTTAGCAACAAAATAGCTAGCTGGATAAATAAACAAATGAAGCAAAATGTGATAGTGAAAATTAGGTAAATAAGATACTTCACAGACACTAAATCATACTACAACACTCTGCTACCTTATTATTCTTTTTACCTTTATGTTACGGTTATATCCTTAGTAAGTTGAAGAATTGATATAGTGTCCCTAATTACCTCCCCCCCCCCAAGTTTCATCTTTGTTTACCTATACATCTCGCCAAACTTCTCACACCTCCTTAATGATGCATATTGGCTTCTATTCTTCACATGCACGTACAACCAGTCTCACTTTCTTAATTTTTTCAACAACAGAATTTGTTATGTAAGAAATGTATACAGAAGAAGGGAGGGATTATATGCAAAAAAATAAGAGAAATTCTCTCTATTTATAGCCGACAAAGGTTATAGGTCAACACTTTTTAGAAATAAGGTAATCTTTTAGAAAGGTCACATGCAACCCTTTGTAAAAGGCACAATCTTTCCAATGGTCACAACCCTCTAGAAAAGATACAACATTTCTGTAACGACCTGTTTAGTCGTTTTGAGCAGGTAGAATTTCTTTTGTTAAAAACTGACTGTGTCGACGGATCACACGACGGACCGTCATGGTCACGACGGACCGTCGAGTGTCTCCGTGCCAAAACACTTAAACTCTGAAATTTGGTTACGGGGAATCACTATCTGAACTTCGCGATGACATGGAAGCACGGACCATCGTAGGCACGACGGACCGTCACAGAGCTCTTAAATAAAATTGAGTCTCTGAACTCTATGACTACTCTGCAGGACCGACCGTCGCAGGCATGACGGGACGTCACGAGCTGCGTAACCCTGACTGGGTCGGATTTCTGTGAAAGTTTAAAAGGGGCATTTTGGACAATTTATGACAAACTGTATGAAATTAGGGGGTAAGTTTAATAACTTATTTACTTGGGGGTTAAAGGAGATAACCTTGAAATAAAGAATGGATTATTTTTATCATAATGAATTATATGGTAATTAGGGTAAAACAAAGAGAATCTGAAAGAAGAGAAAATTAGAAAGAAAAGAAGAGAGAACGAGCGAGGGAGAGAAGAACGAAGAGACAGCAAGGGCATTGGAGAAGTAGATTGCTTGATCACGATTCTTCGGTGGAGGTAGGTTATGGTTTATGCTATTTCATAGTAAACTCTAAATAGCGATTGATATGTGTTGGGTGGTATTGTAAAGTCTTCTATATGCTTAATTGTGTTGTTGCATGTTGTGATTATGTAAAGGGTGATGGATTATAATGATGATAATGTGGAATCTTAAAAACCTTAAATCCACTCTATTAATGATGATGCCTTGATATAAAAGAAGGCTTGATGAACTAAAAGAATGAGGTTAATGGATCGGGTGTCACGAACCGACACGTAGTATTAGGAGATCGGGTGTCACGAACCGACACGTAGAATTAGGGGATCGGGTGTCACGAACCGACACATAGTATTAGGGGATCGGGTGTCACGAACCGATATGTAGAATTAGGGGATCGGGTGTCACGAACCGACACGTAGTATTAGGGGATCGGGTGTCACGAACCGATACATAGTATTAGGGGATCGGGTGTCACGAACTGACACGTAGTATTAGGGGATCGGAGTGTTACATTCCGACACAAGAGGAATAAAGGGATTGAATCTGGAATTATGTAAATGTAATTAAACTTAAAGAACCTTTTTCCCAAATGAGTATGGTGTGGAGGCTTGAGTCCTCATAGATGTACTTGGTGTTGTTGTCAATGGTTCTTGTAATTGTTGTTGCCACCTGTTAAGTATTATGGTTGATTTTATACTATTGTTTAATATATATTGATTTCTATTTTTAGTTGGCCGATGATATCTACTGAGTACTTGTGCCTTGTACTGACTCCTACTTGTGATTTTCTTCGTTGATTATTTGTGGAGTGCAGCAAACATACCATTGACTTCAATCCAACCGCAACTCTAGCCAGTCTTCAGCTTATCAGATTTCAGGGTGAGCTACTGTTTCTAGCTCGGACTCGACTCTCTCCTTCACGTCCTGATGTCTTGAAGTTCGGACAAAGACCATCTCTTTTACTTGTTTTAGTTTCTTGAATACTCTTAGAATTAGAAATTTGAGGATAGATGTTCTTGGTGTGATGACTTCCAGATTTTGGGGATAATAATAAGTATTGAATTTTAAGTCTTCCGCAGTATATTCTGTTTATATTGTATTGAAATGTTGGGGTTAGATTGGTGGGTTCACTCACATAGTAGGATAAGTGTGGGTGCCACTCGCGGCTCGTTTTGGGTCATGACAATTTCTTAAAGGTCACAACTCTTGGGAAAGTCACAACGTTTCAAGAGAGTCACAACCCTTCATTTCCTGTAACACTCTTAAAACCCAACACCTAGAAAAAATATTGCTAATGCTCCTGATAGATACCTTGCTAGGATGGATGCATAATATATGTATAATCATCATCAAACAACTCACTATATGATCATATTGATAATATTCACAAAAACTTGTATTTTATTTTGTGTCTTTCATATATAAAGTCAAAGAAATAATTTAATAGATAAATTTTTAAAAATTAGTGTACCGATAGCTCAACCTATACGTGCAAGACACGTGAGCTGAAACTATTTAAATTAAAACACAACGAGATAGTAATGTCAAAATGTGCTCCAACTTCTTATGTTCTCTCTTATCACATCACTAGGACATGATCGTCAAAAAACTATATCAAATATCATTTTACGTCATCAAAATAAACTTTCTTTAAATCATAATCTACAGAAATTATGATCTTCATTTCCTCTTCATTGCAAATTCCAGTATTCCCTAGGTCCCGTCATTGTCATTGAAATGAACCCTACAATATAGAAAAATCAATACGCATGTTAGACATTGCACACAATGTTTATAGGTAAAACTGATAGTATAAATTTCTTAGAATTTTAACTTACTTGAAAGGTGAATTTAAGTTTTTTTAAAAAAGGGTTCATATGGATTGTTATAGAGTTTCCTTCAAGAATAATTATCAAAAATTGCCTTAAAAGTAATTTGATTAAATATATAAATATTTATAATATGAAATCACCTATCTTTTTCCACATCTTGATTGGCAAGATTCTCAGTAATGCTCGTAGCTTTTTCCAAAGTCGAGTCAGACTTGTGCCCTTGAAAGCTTTGTGTGCCACTTGTAGAGGTTTCTTCATTTTTCTGCACAAAATAAAATTATTATGCAATCAACTAATTAATTATTTATCATAGAAAATAGATTTTTCCATGTGAAATATCTAATTCAATTCCGTTATGTATAAATAAAATACATAAACTTATACATGATTTGGTATGTATTAAGTGTGTATGCATTTTGCTGATTGTTGCATTGTATAGTAGGTAAACAAAAAACTTTTCATAGAGGATAAATAGGTACTTTTTTAAAGGATCATTTATATATAATAAAATATCATATAAAAGATGATCACAACAAGATTGTCACATGTGATTATTTTAATAACAGGTGCAAATATATCATGCAACTTTGTTACAAGAAGAGCTATCAATAATGATATCAAAAATAGGAAGGGCATGTAAAAATGTTCTATGGTAAAAACATACATAAAGAAAACCTATAAACCTATTTGCTCCAACAAACTTAATGTGAACTTAAGTTTCTTTGAATTTTAATAGTTAGCTTGATAATGTAGTCTGTTATTAGGGTTTTTTATTCAATCATTATCCGAGAGAAAGATTTTACTCATTTTTTAGTCTTTCCTAATTTATAAAATGTGTTGACAAGAATTTTAAGTTAGAACACTAGATTTTCAGTTTGGCAAAAGTATCTTATTTGCCATAGAAATATTCTAGCCACAAGTGTTCTCACAACCTAAGAAGATCGTACAATTCATTGGCTCAATGTGCAAAAGGTTTTTATGAACTTAATATGTCGATGCCCCTAGAAAGTATTGATTTCTTTGGAAATGTTATGTTGCCCCAAATCCGTTGGAGGTGTGAACTTCCTAGAGGTATACAAGAAAGTGATTCTTGAAAACCTACTATGAAAGTTATGCAAGAAAAAAGGACAAACTGTGCATGCTATGGGTACATAATTAATACGGAGGATCATATCGACGTAAACTAGCCAATCAAGGCGATAACATGACCTTAGTGTATATCCTTAAATATGATCGATAATGTATTAGTTGTGTTTAAGGTGCTTGAGCAAGACTTGGGGCCAACTGTCCTAATCTGCTAGTTTTTTGTTTGTATAGTTCTTTAAATACTACATCTTATATATAAAAAGTACTTGTATGAACGATATATCGATTCTAAATCATAACAATGAAAAGTGAGATACATATCTTTCATTCATGGTTCGACAACTAATTGATAAATATAAAATCAAAAGATCTCAATAGGTAAGTCAAAGAGAAAGTGATGTATCATGTTCTGTAATTGATCATTTTATAAGATTTGTTGAGAAGAATTTTAAGTTGGACCACAAGATTTCTATCTTATGCTGGCAGAACTCAGTTAGGCGAACATATCTTGTTTTCCATGGAAATATTCTAGTTACAAGTCTTTGCACGACCTAAGTAGATCATTAAAGCCATTTGATCTATTTGCAAAAGGTTTTTATAAACTTAATATGTTAATGCTCCTAAAAACCTGTTGATTGCTTGGAAAACGCTATGATGCCCCAAATTTGTTGGAGTGTGAACTTTATCGAGGTACACAACAAAGTTGTACTTAAAAACCTACTATGAAACTTATACAAGAAAAAAGGTCACATTGTGAATGGTACATGTACATAGTTATTACGGAGGATCATCTCAACCTACACTAGCTAGGCCCTGAGATTACACGACGTTAATCTGTATCCTGAATTATGATAGATAATGTGTTGATTGTTTTTACGGTGCTTGACCAAGGGTTTGACCACGATGTCTAAATCTGCTAGTTTTTTGTTAGTAAAATTCTTTAAATACTAAATTTTATATGTAGAAAAGTACTGGTATGAATGAGATGTTGATACTAAATCATAACAATGAAAAGTTATAATACATATCATACGTTTATGTTTTGAAAACTAATTCATATATATAAAATCAAAAGATCTCAATTGGTAAGTCAAAAAGATTGACAGTGAACTTCAAATAAAATAGGAGAAACTCATTAAGATATATGTGTATATATAGAAAATCAAATGGAAATTAAAGAAAAATTTACCTTGGGGAAGAATGCTCTTTTACGCAATTCCTTGAAATAATCGGTTGTTTTCTTCACTAAATCAATCTCCTTCATAGTTTCTTCAATTTGCAACTTCAATTTGTTTTGAATGGCTATGCTCCCGTACACAGGATTTTCAGATCTAATCTTAGCCTCTAAAATTAGGGTTTCAACCATTTTTGCCTTTTTCTCATTGTCAGCAACAGAATTAAGCATCTCTATGATAGTGCTTACTTTGTAAAGTCGACTAACATTTTTGAAATCTTCAAATTTATTGGATGGAAAAAATGGAGCTAACGGACAATTCTCCTGACACCGTTTTCTTTGGTACTTAAATGCTGCACATTTACCCTTTGCATCTGCGTCATTCATCTTTCTCACAGTAGTTAAAAATTAGTCCTAAATAATTACTTAATAGAGAAGTCTATTCCTTGTATTTGCCTCTCTTACCATGAAATTATAGAAGAATAGAGTGGCTAATCATATTATATAAAGATAAACTGAAATGACTTTTAAGTCAAAAAATAAAAAGTAGGGGGAGACCTGCTTTTTAATTTTGACTTATTTTAAGTCATCTTAAAATAATTTTCAATTAGTTTTTATATTATCAAACATTTCTTAACTTATTTTAATTCAGTTTTGACTTATTTTATATTATTTTTTTATTTCTCAATCACTTTCAAAAGTAAAAAAATTACTTTAAAATAGGTTTGACCAACTTTTAAGTCAATCCAAACACCCACTTAATTATATGTTTAATAGATTTAAATTTTTTCCTTTAGAGGTTAGTGATATTTTTTACCTTTTTTTTTGTGGGAAATCTTCTTGCTAGTAAATATGTTTACATTTGATTGACTAGTTTAGCGTATGTGTGTCGTGCATGAATTGTATGTCTACAAATAAAAATTATTAGGTATAACAACAATTGATTTTAATTATAAATGAAATAATTATTTAAATAAAAATATCATTACGTTGATACAATATTGAATTTTAAGTAATTAAATATCTTTCTTTCAAAACAAATATTCTAGCTGAGTTACTTATATAGTTTTTAAAATTATAGATATTTTATTTTATAAGAAAAAAATTAATTATGTAGTATTTGATCCAAATATCCAGTTGAATTTTTAAAATGCATACATGCTTGAAAGGAATCTGGATACTTTTGTTAAACTTGTGCTCCAACCAATGAGTATAATTAAAAAATATGTAATAAATGAAATATTTTTAAATAATATACGTTAGTTATAAAACAAAAAATATAATGAATATTTAATTTCCTGAAAATAATAAAAATTTATGATATTCAATGAGCTTTAAATAGAAAAACAAAATACATCACAAAAGTTTTCAATATTGGCATGTTAACGAAAAATAACGTACATTACAAAAGTATTCAATATTATAAGAAGACTTACTGTACGTTTTATAGCAAGATGGAAAATTCACTAAATACATAAAATTGAAACGCACAAAAAATATTGATATAAAATAATTAATTTCTAAATACTATATGTTCCTCAGTAATCTAAACAGGGAACCAAAACTCCTATTAATATGTATAGGTTGGTTTTAAAGACTGAAATAGTAAAAACAATATTGAAATTAGTTTTATCTAATTTGAAATATATATGGTGTTAACTAGACAAAATTTTATCCTAAATATTAAACTTCGTACCTAGTTTAAATAAAGAATACAAACAATAACAATATATCAGTTGTGATTTTATAAGTCAGATTAACGGAGGTAAGATTATGAAGACATTATTTCTATCTTTGTAGGGTAGAAAAATTGTTCTAGATAGGACATTCATGTAAAATAAATGTAATCAAAGCATCATAGAAAGAAAATAATTTAGCAACAAAATAGCTAGCTGGATAAATAAACAAATGAAGCAAAATGTGATTGTGAAAATTAGGTAAATAAGATACTACACACACACTAAATGATACTACAACAATCTGCTACCTTATTATTCTTTTTACCTTTATCTTAGTGTTATATCCTTAGTAAGTTGAAGAAGCGATACAGTGTCCCTAATTACCCCCCCCCCCCCCCCGCAAGTTTCATCTATGTTTACCTATGCATCTCGTCAAACTTCTCACACCTCTTTAATGATGCATATTGGCTCCTATTCTTCACATGCACGTACCACCAGTCTCACTTTCTTAATTTTTTCTACTACAGAATTTGTTATGTAAAAAATGTATACAGAAGAAGGGAGGAATTATATGCAAAAAAAATTAGAGAAATTCTCTCTATTTATAGCCGACAAAGGTTACAGGTCAACACTTTTTAGAAAAAAGATAATCTTTTAGAAAGGTCACATGCAACCCTTTGGAAAATGCACAATCTTTCCAATGGTCACAACCCTCTAGAAAAGATACAACATTTCTTAAAGGTCACAACTCTTTGGCAAAGTCACAACCCTTCAGGAGAATCACAACCCTTCATTTCCTGTAACACTCTTAAAACCCAACACCTAGAAAAATATTGCTAATGCTCCAGATAGATACCTTTCTAGGATTGTTGCACAATATATGTACAATCATCATCAAACAACTCACTATATGATCATATTCACAAAAACTTGTATGTTATTTTGTGTCTTTCATATATAAAGTAAAAGACATAATTTAATAGATAAATTTTTAAAAAGTAGTGTACCGATAGCTCAACGTATACGTGCAAGACACGTGAGCTGAAACTATTTAAATTAAAACACAACAAGATTGTAATGTCGAAATGTTCTCCAACTTCATATGTTCTCTCTTATTTCATCACTAGGACATGATCGTCAAAAAACTATATCAAATATCATTTTACGTCATCAAAATAAACATCCTTAAAATCATAATCTACAGAAATTATGATCTTCATTTCCTCTTCATTGCAAATTCCAGTGTTCCCTAGGTCCCGTCATTGTCATTGAAATGAACCCTACAATATAGAAAAATCAATACGCATGTTATACATTGTACACAATGTTTATAGGTAAAATTGGTAGTATAAATTTCTTAGAATTTTAACTTACTTGAAAGGTGAATTTAAATTTTTTTAAAAAAGGGTTCATATGGATTGTTATAGAGTTTCCTTCAAGAATAATTATCAAAAATTGCCTTAAAAGTAATTTGATTAAATATATAAATATTTATAATACGACATCACCTATCTTTTTCCACATCTTGATTGGCAAGATTCTCAGTAATGCTCGTAGCTTTTTCCAAAGTCGAGTCAGACTTGTGCCCTTGAAAGCTTTGTGTGCCTCTTGTAGAGGTTTCTTTATTTTTCTGCACAAAATAAAATTATTATGCAATCAACTAATTAATTATTTATCATAGAAAGTAGATTTTTCCATGTGAAATATCTAATTCAATTCCGTAATGTATAAAAAAAATACATAAACTTATACATGATTTGGTATGTATTAAGCGTGTATGCATTTTGCTGATTGTTGCATTGTATAGTAGGTAAATAAAAAATGTTTCGTAGAGGATAAATAGGTTCTTTTTTAAAGGATCATTTATATATAATAAAATATCATATAAAAGATGATCACAACAAGATTGTCACATGTGATGATTTTAATAACAGGTGCAAATATATCATACAACCTTGTTACAAGAAGAGATACCAATAATGATATCAAAAATAGAAAGGGAATGTAAAAAGGTTCTATGAGGAAAACATACATAAAGAAAACCTATAAACCTATTTGCTCCAACAAACATAATGTGAACTTAAGTTTCTTTGAATTTTAATAGTTAGTTTGATAATGTAGTCTGTTATTAGGGTTATTTATTCAATCATTATCCGAGAGAAAGATTTTACTCATTTTTTAGTCTTTCCTAATTTATAAAATGTGTTGAGAAGAATTTTAAGTTAGAACACTAGATTTTTAGTTTGGCAAAAGTATCTTATTTGCCATATAAATATTCTAGTCACAAGTTTTCTCACAACCTAAGAAGATCGTACAATTCATTGGCTCAATGTGCAAAAGGTTTTTATGAACTTAATATGTTGATGCCCGTAGAAAGTATTGATTTCTTTGGAAATTTTATGTTGCCCCAAATCCGTTGGAGGTGTGAACTTCCTAGAGGTATACAAGAAAGTGATTCTTGAAAACCTACTATGAAACTTATGCAAGAAAAAAGGACAAACTGTGGATGGTATGGGAACATAATTAATACGGAGGATCATATCGACCTAAACTAGCCAATCCAGGAGATAACATGACCTTAGTGTATATCCTTAAATATGATCGATAATGTATTAGTTGTGTTTAAGGTGCTTGAGCAAGACTTGGGGCCAACTGTCCTAATCTGCTAGTTTTTTGTTTATATAGTTCTTTAAATACTACATCTTATATATAAAAAGTACTTGTATGAACGATATATCGATGCTAAATCATAACAATGAAAAGTGAGATACTTATCTTTCATTCATGGTTCGACAACTAATTGATAAATACAAAATAAAAAGATCTCAATAGGTAAGTCAAAGAGAAAGTGATGTATCATGTTCTGTAATTGATCATTTTATAAGATGTGTTGAGAATAATTTTAAGTTGGACCACTAGATTTCTATCTTATGCTGGCAGCACTCAGTTAGGCGAACATATCTTGTTTTCCATCCAAATATTCTAGTTACAAGTCTTTGCACGACCTAAATAGATCATACAAGCCATTTGATCTATTTGCAAAAGGTTTTTATAAACTTAATATGTTAATGCTCCTAAAAACCTGTTGATTGCTTGGAAAACGCTATGATGCCCTAAATTTGTTGGAGTGTGAACTTTATCAAGGTACACAATAAAGTTGTACTTAAAAACCTACTATGAAACTTATACAAGAAAAAAGGACAAATTGTGAATGGTATGGGTACATAGTTATTACGGAGGATCATCTCAACCTACACTAGCCAGGCCCTGAGATTACACGACCTTAATTTGTATCCTGAATTATGATAGATAATGTATTGATTGTTTTTACGGTGCTTGACCAAGGCTTTGACCACGATGACTAAATCTGCTAGTTTTTTGTTTGTAAAATTCTTTAAATACTTAATTTTATATGTAGAAAAGTACTCGTATGAATGAGATGTTGAAACTAAATCATAACAATGAAAAGTTATAATACATATCATACGTTCATGTTTTGAAAACTAACTCCTATATATAAAATCAAAAGATCTCAATTGGTAAGTCAAAAAGATTGACAGTGAACTTCAAATAAAATAGGAGAAACTCATTAAGATATATGTATATATATAGAAAATCAAATGGAAATTAAAGAAAAATTTACCTTGGGGCAGAATGCTCTTTTACGCAATTCTTTGAAATAATCGGTTGTTTTCTTCACTAAATCAA